GTAAGTAACCTCCATCTCAGAGACTTTAACTTAAACTGCTTCTGTCTCTTAATTTGTGCTTTCTTGCTTTCTTCTTTCTTTTTTACAACACGAGGCGCGTGCGGCTGCACGGGTGATCGGGTTCAGATTGCTGATCAGTTTGGTGATTGATCAGGAGTTTGTTGGAGCAGGGGGGGGGCAGATTAAGAGCTGCTGATGTGGCGCATGTGTGCCTGATTTACAAGGCTGAATGCTCCACTATCAGTCCGCTTTAGGAGCTCTTCCACCGGGCTGAAATGTTCTTTATGTCTCCCTGTGAGCAACTCAACGGTTAACACCACTTTATTTAAAGCTTTGGAAAGACTCTTCTGTCTGCGATTAAAACAGCTGTTTTTTTAATGCAGTTTGGTGCGAACAAAACTGAAGTTGCAGCAGCACAGAACATGAACCTCGTGTAACTTCATGAGCTGCTCAGGTAGAAGTTAAACTGGACTGAAAGGTTCTTATTTACTATCTCTGATTTAAACTAAAGTGTGAATAACTCAAAGTTTATCAGCACTGTGTCAGACAAACACGCTTCTTTCTGCGCTTAAAACAGACGTTTTTTGAATGGAGTTTGGTGCGAACAGAAACTAAAGGAAGAGTTAAATAATCTTTGTCAGACTTTGTCCCCAGACTGGATTCTGTGCTCACATTTTCACACAAAGCTGCTGACAGATATCAGCCTGCAACAACCACCGATTTAAACCCTCCTGGGACACGAAGACTCTCCAAACTTTACTCAATAAAAGTCAAAGTCTGGGATTCAACTTTAGTCTGTAGTTAAAGACCTAAAAGGAACAACATGTGCAGAGAAATTAAAACTACAGACTCCAGGCTGGTAAAGCTAAAGCTAGGATAATGGTTATCTTTATTATGTTTTAGCCTTTGTTGATCAGAGTGAAGTTAAGGTGAAGTTGAACTGGACTGAAATGTTCTTATTTTATATCTCAGATGGAAACTCAAAGTGTGAATAACTCAAAGTTTATCAGAACATATTTAAATCTGTGTGAGCTTAAATTCGCCGTTTTTTGAATGTAGTTTGGTGCAGAAACAGAAACTGAAGGTAGAGTTAGATAAACTTTGTCGGACTTTGTCCCAAACACATTTTCACACAGAGCTGCTGACTGATATCAGCCTGCCACAGCTATATCCAGTATTTAAAGATAGTATTGATTACTTTCATGACTTTTAAAAGTTTAAAGTGCGTTTTGCTCCCATGAGGCTGATTGTGTCTCCTGCTTGTGAGCAGGTCAACACTGTAATCTTTGTCTTTATTTTAATTTTAGAAGGTAAAACAATCCCATATTTGACCTGAAAAAAGAGAAAGATTAGAGGAGAGTCTTGGAAATAAACATAAGTTTGTGTTAACCTGGCTCCAGTTGTGGGAATCGCTGATTTTAAAACCTCCTGGGACACAAACTCTCCAAACTCTCTATAAAAGTCAAAGTCTGGGATTCGACACTGGCTTCAGTTAAAGATCTGAAAGGAAGAACATGTGCAGAGAAAATAAAAGTTGACTGCGGGTATTTCAGGCTGTTTTTTGGTGATAAAGTAAAGCAAGAACATTCATTATCTATTAATTAATCATTAATTAATTTATCATTCGGTCTATGATAAGAGATTCAGCTCATGTTGCAGCAGCACAGAACATAAATAAATACAGATAAATGGAGAAAAGTAAAAAATAAATGATAAGAAGTATCTGAAATAAGATTGGAAATTAAAATATAAACAATCATTTAAGTCATTTAACTCAAAATAAATGGTTCAATAATGAGAAATATTCAGTTTACTTGATCCTGACACCTTCAGTCCTCACACCTCTCGGAGTTTACTTCACACCAGTTCATGTGACTCTGTATAAACTTTGTGTCTGATTACTTTAACTTGACAGAGTCGTCAAACAGTGTGTTAGGAACGATAATGTGTGTCTGACATAAAAGGTCATCCCCTCACTTCTACCTCATTAAACATTACTGAATCTATGAAATATTAATACGTGTTACTGTCGTTGTTGTTCCTCCTGCTCTGTACAGTCCGCCCCTTTTAAAATCAGACGTTCAATGAGCTCAGAAACTTTCTTCTGTCAGCAGATGAATGTGAAAACATCCTTCTGGTGTCAAACTCTGTACACACATAATTCAAACATCAGACTGTAGGAACACGAACAGACACGGATGTCTGACTGCAGGGAGCTTTAATGGATTCATTCATTATCAAACTTAATTTATCTTAATTTCTCTCTCAGCCGACATATTAACCGTCTTTACACGGCGGCTTTGAAGCTTCCTGCTGTTGTTATTTATTCAAACTAGCTCCGATCTGGATGGATAATTACGTTGTGTTGCAGCTGATCCCTGTTAGTAGAATTCATGTGAATGAAATGTGTTCAGATGTCTTGTTTGTGTTTCACCAACAGTAGAGGAATATAAAGAGAGTTCATCCAGGCTCAGATTTAACTGCTACAGGAGCGTTTACAGACTTTATTGTGTCTCAGCTTTCCATTTATTCCCAGTTTATTGGAGAAATATTCGAATACACTAGGTGAAAAATAACTTTAAGAAGTGTGTTTATTGCCCAAAACTGCCTCGGTCTGTAAAGGGGAAACCCACAGAACCCATTTTCATTCAGATATCTTGAGGTCACAGGTCAATGGATCCCTTTTGAAATGGCCATTCCCAATGACATGGTTGGTACTGCTGGATGCATTAGGTTGTGTAGTTTCATATGACACCAGTATCTCCGCTCTAGCTTTAAAACAGCTGCAGCCTCTGAAAGAGATAATGGGGTGGCAGTTGGGGTGGCCAGCCAGATGTCCGTCCCCCTCTGGAGACGCCCCTGACAATAAATAAGATTTGAGAGTGCGGATGCTCCAAACAGCCCAAAACTCAAAGATAATCAGTTTACAGTGATTTAAAACAGACACACAACGGGGGGAAGCTGGAACTGGTGAATCGTTGGCAGTTTAGCTTGAAACAAAAAAAAGACTTTAACCATTAATCAAGTATGAAAATCAGTTAATCATCTAACAGTTTCAGCTCTGAACTGAAGCCAGAAGGCTGTAATTTCATAAAAATAATCAATATTGGCCCCAATAGTTTGTCAAACTTACACAACAACCTCTGACTCGCCTGAGCCGTGGCCCCCTTTATTCTAGCTGAGTGGGACTGTTTAGGAGGACCGGTCTGTGTTACAGATGGGAATGTGGGTCAGTGTTGTGCATGGTGGCATCACCGCTCAGTCAATATTTCAGCTCCCCTCCTCCTGCTTCCCCCTCGGAGCTCTTCCATCGGTGGATCTTTTCCTCGACATGCGAGGCTGTAAATCAGTTCAGCTGCAGGTCGAGCGTGACCTTAATTACCTTTCCATACAGCGGGAACACAGAAGTGTGTCTTGTTGAAGGGATTATGTTGTGCTGGAGCTCGCAGCTGTTAGCGGTTAAGGTTTGGACAAGAAGCGAGAATGTTTCTGAGTCACCTTCAGGAGCTCGGTACCAGTCTACTAAAACACCAACACTAAGGCTGTTTGGTGCCAGTTGAGGCCTTCGGTACCTCTTCCTCACCAAGGCAGTCTGAGGACTAGTCTGGAGCTAGTACCTAATCCTGAACCAAGAACCGGCTCTTGGCCCAGAAACCTGGTTCCAGTGTGGCACCAACCAACACTTAGCTGGTCTGGAACCCAGAACCGCGTACAACAGGACTGACATGAGTAATTAGTAGCTAACCAATAACTAGTTTGAGTACAGAGCAACCATATAGCCACGTCATTACATCGCTGTATGAAAACATACATGTTGATTTTATTCTACTAATCACAGTTAATAATCAGAGGATGTAAACACACACTTTACACAACATCAGCTCTTATTAACCCTTTCAGTGTAAAGCAGGCGGGTCAAAATAAAAGGAGAAAGGATGAAGGAAACAGATTTTGTTTCACAATATTTATTGATCCTAAACTCAGTATTTTAAGGGGCACTTCACTTTAAACTCTTTGTGATCTGATTTGATAGTTTTGGTGAATAAACCCGAACAAACAGCGACTGTTGAACAACCTCAGCCACGTGTTAAACTGCTGCGTCTCACTCGACGACCTGGGTTGAGAACAGGTTCCCTGTTCTGTGTGTTTATCCAGAGACGACGAACGTCAACCTGAAGTCTGACAATAGCAGAGACTCACCCACAGTGAGCTTTGTAACCTGTTCGCCCTGTTTGCTGGAATTGCCCTGGAGGTAATTGTGGGTTAAAGTGAGATGTGAAGAACTCGAGCTGCTCACATTTCTTCCTCCTGAACAAACGATACGGTTCACTCGCGTTCAGTTTAGGTTGCTGCTGAAGAGAGTCGTATCTTTATCCCACGTACGCCGTCCTGCTGCCCCAAACAACTCAGAAAGTATTGATAAAGTATTGTTTTAACCCTGATGTCAGTTTAGGTTAAAGACCGACTAATGTGGGAACTTTTGAGACGAATACGATTCCGATTATAGACGGAAAAATCCTCCGTTTACAGATATTGGTCAGTTTATTGGTCTAATAACTTTATTAAAGAATATTTAAGTTCGGGTTAACTAACCTTTTAATTATTCTGGGAAGGTTTAGCAGGGACACCCTGATCATTTACACCCTGAAGCTGCCCAGTACCGTCACTGCCACTGGGCAGTCGGGGTGAAGGGCCTTGCTCAAGGGCAGCCTCAGTGGCGGTAATGAGTAGGGGCGAGCTGATTCTTCACTTCACCCAGATTTAACCTGCCGGTCTGGGCCGACACCTTTTCCGGTCACGAGTTCACATGCCTAACCTTCAGACCGCCACCGCCCACATACCAGCAGTCTGCAATGAGCCGATATCGGTCAATAATATCGACAAGAAAGATTTTATGACCAAAGCTTCAGAAAAGCTACTAAACTGTTGTTAAAGTGCTCAGATGTTAAATGTTTACATGGCAGAGTTATGCTTTAAATCAGGATGTGTCAGATTAAATA